TAGGTATATTTATATATATAAAAATGTCTCATAATTTGTGCAAAAGGCTGTACACACGTTTATATATATATATATTAGATAAATGTAGCAGTTACTGCTTCTTGCTAAACTAATAGATGTACATCGTTTTTTTACTGCAATATCTTGTATAGTGCAACTTAATTCAAGATTGCTGATATATGGTTTTATGTACAATATCAACCTTTGCTAGAAGCGGACTTATTTCTGTTTTGTTACGCTGATTTCTACTGAACTCTTCTATTTCTTATTAGAGAAGAATAAAAAGTGTTAAATCAGGAATCGCAAGAGTGTTTCTACATCTTATATTAGAACATTTTAGAATATTTCTTGTCAGATTACTGGACAATGAACTCAAGTTCACTGATGAAACTGGTACATATTTTCCATAACTCTTCTTTGTCTGAGTTTACAACATATTTATCCAAACAAAACACTTTACTTTCGATTTGTATTAAGTAACTCACTATAATTGAAGTTAATTGTTTTGAGTTTTCGCTTTCGTTTTGTACTTTTTCATTTGTATGTAGACATTGTTCAAAGTCAGTTTAAATGTCCCGATCTTCATCAGACCTTCTTCTCACCTTCCTTCTGTTACACACTGGACTCATCGGTTGCAGTTCGATGGGATTGTTTAATGCCTGGTTGATTGYCTGTTTTCKGMAGAGTATCTTCTTGGCTGCGTCACGAAAATCAGACAGAAATATAAGATAGATGCAAGGACTGAAACAGGAGTTGACCACAGTTAGGAAATCACCAATGATAAAGTACAATGATGTCCAGTCAATACAAAGTGAGAAATTCACTATATCAGCTGACGGTAAGGCAGCGTCGGTCCAGGCAACAACGAAAAAAACTAATGCGGGAAACCAGCAGCAAGCATACAGCAATACCGAGGCAAGAACCATTGTTACGGCTGCCTGGATTCGACGTGCTCGTACGTTTCGTTGTTCTTCGCTAAGGTGATTTTGGATGTCTTGTGGTTTTGTCAACCGTCTTATTGTTAGACTAGTAAGAATGAATATTACGCAACAGAGGATAACTATAATAGCACTTTCAAATAGCATAACAAAGAAAATTACTCTGTTATTCAGTAAATCGCTATACGATGCATCACACCATTGTAGACTGTGGAGATACGCGTAAAGGATTGGGACTGTCATGGGTGTGAACCAAGTGACAGCAATTATTGCCATACGTTGCTTCAGTGTGTATGGTCTCGTTCTTTTCAAGGTTTTTGCTGTTGCTCTGAATCGTTGAATACTGATTACTAATAGAGTAACTAATGATACCCTATATGAGATGTGTATCAGAAATGTTGTAGTTTTACAGATTATAACACCTAGTGTACCAGTGGGATATATGGTCCATTTATCGTCAGAAAGCCATGGAACATAGTACAATAACCTCATGAAGAGAAATAGAGCATCTGAGACGGCCATGTTGATGATCAAATGATGCAGGTGCTTGCGTACCGTGAGTTTAGCAGCGAGTACGATGACGAAGATGTTAAAAGAAATTCCCAATACAATGACAAGTACTAAGACAGTGCGTTTTGGCCATTTTCTCAACATCGGTGTCAGGTTCCCAATTGCAATAGGTGTTAACCGTACTGATGTTATAGACGTTGGCGAGTGATGTGTTTGACTCGTTCATCTTTGTGTAGTTTATCTTCTCGCTSTCTGTAKATCGTTGTAAAATAATACAAATAATAACACCAAGACACTCTTATGTACCTTATGATGAAGTTACGAGKGGCGTGACTACGTACTTTTCAGAAAAAGAGAGTTTCTTGACACAAAATGTGACTATAACTAAAGCAGGCTGAGAACACTGTTGGTGAATTTACTGATCGAGTTAAGTAAACTTACCGTTACTGAGCCTTGTCCTTTCAAATATGTGACTCTACATGATACAATATCTCGGTCCCAGGTCTTATCGGTGAGATTATCAACAGAGGAAGCCAAGATATTCGATTGTATATTAAGCGTTCATACATGTGCAACGTGTATGATAAAAGAGCTAGTACTACTTTGGTCACTGCGCATGGGCATATCTGAGTAGAATTTTAAATTATTTCAAGGCGAGTGCGAGTCGCAAATCAGCGCAGTCAATAAACAGAGTTATTTTTTCATGACACGTTATGGGACTAAACTTCGTTTATAATTATTATATGTCCCGTCACCCTAGAGCCCCCTCCACAGAAATCACTCAGAGTGACGGGCTTGAATGGGAGCGAGCCAAGATGACCGTCACAAAGGAAGACCCCAAGGAGAAAAAAAGTTGATTTGAGAGGAGGCTAACGTGACCCCAATATTTGTAAACTAGGATTAATTTCAGTGGGGGAAGCATAAATAAGAATTTAATAGGACTGCCTCACAAGATATAATCAGAGTAATAAGCTAGTCTCCTCGCCTCCGTTCTTAGTGGCGGGCTCCCTGTCCCCCAACCTCGTTCCCAGGGCCTTATCGCAAGCGAAGGGATAAGGCCCTGGGAACGAATCTCAAGCGAAGGGATAAGGCCCTGGGAACGAGGTTGCCTGTCCCGCAAGTCGTGGGGCGGGGGAAAGGGAGCCCGTCACTAAAAACGGCTGCGAGGAGCCTAAGTAATAAGCCTGAAGTCATAAAAAACGTATACACGAAAGGAACCCAAAACTAGGGAATACTCACTTGAATCATTGCGGCTTAAAAGTCAATTTGGCACTCTCCATCCCAAGAAAAAAAATAAATGTTTTCAGCGACAGTCAATTTTAGAGACCGAGGGGAGACGGAAACTGAATATCCAACTTGAAAAAACGAATAGACTTTCAAACGAGCAATAATAAAGGCCAAGCTGTTATTAAAAAAACAAAAACAAATGATCATCGTAAGTTTATCTAATGCCTCACAATCCATCGGCCATGTCCTCTCTATTAACTATGGCCATGTCGTCGTTTATAAGACTGGAAGTGTGTATATGCAACAAAAGCGAGCGTATTGTTACTTCGCTGTGCGATATATGTTTCTGTTGTTCTCCTAGTCTCAACATCCTTGCGGGGGGTAGGGTGAGGCCGATTAGAATCATCAAAACAATCCACCTTGGAGGTAAAGTAGAATAGTGGCTAGTGCCTAGCGTTTAGATATAAGATCTGCCTAAAATCGAGTAAGAAAAATGTTCGTGTAGAGATTTCGATTGGGTTTTGTAGTGTGACTAGCTAGAGGCGTCAGCATGGCAATAATAACACTGATTTTACGGTGTTTTAAGCTACTTGAATTAGAGGTGAGTATGAACAGTCGATGACCGTATGCGTGATGATAAGTTAACATAATTATAAAGGCATTCAATCTATAACATTCAAAAAATAACAGCAATGATGATCATGACATTAATAAAGGCAAAATAGTTCATATTAAAGATAAATAGATACAAAAAGTACTAATCCAATGCAATAGGGCAATGTAGCGTAGACTAGACAATAGAAAACAAAAGGAATCCATATCATTCAGTAAAGCGTACCACCACCACTATAGCACTTCGCATCATGATTACGTCACACCTATATCTAGGCGGTCGGCAAAGGGGATCAGAAAGACTGCATTTCACATAAAATGAACATCACCTTAAGCAAGTTCTTACGGCGGGAGTTATCGAAAGAATGATTTATCCAATACCTAAGTAATTACTTTTTATTTGCGATCTAAAAATGGAATAAAGTCCGCACAAGCTAAAACATTTTTTGTTTCGCCACCAAAGCGTCGAATTCGTATGAAAATTTTCATACACCCTATCTAGAAGTATATTTAAGATATACTGTAAGAAGATCTTCTTTAGAAAATATATCTTTCGAGATTTGTTGAGATTTTTTGCTTGACTATGACGTCACATGCAAACCAAGAATTTGTCTCCAGTTCAAACATACTTTGACGTCATTAGCCAAAGGGAAATCGCGAATGTTTTTCGAGGTTTAGGTTTGCACTATAATCCATCAGTTATAAGGTGATGATTAATGATGGCATTTACATTTAGATGTAAATCGAATATATAAGGTTCAAAAGTCTATCATATAATCCATCCTGCCATGACGTGACCATTTACGTGACGTTTTCCTTGTTTGAGCCTCCCCTCCCYTCATTGTAGTTTATTGTTTATTATTAATCAAATGTTTTTGTTTTTCACGGGATGTCACACGCTCCTCCCACACTCTGCTAAATCGGTTCACGAGTTATTCATTCATCACATTGTGTGACTCAACTAAACATCTATGACTTCGTCTCACTACTTTTCTAGCAGTTTGCTTTAAGCAGAMTTCAAAATGGACTTCAAATCGATTACTTAGCTCTCCATTAGCTAAAATACAGAGTCGTTTGTTTGAAAAACTGCAACTATAAATTTTCTAGTGATTATAATTTATCACCTGAAGTATGTTTCCGCAGCAGAACGGACATGGCGTCAAGAAACCAAGAATAACAAATGTCAAAGTTGTTAGCATAGAAAAGCGAAAGGATACGAAAAATCTGGTAGGTGAAGACTATCATAATTCTGTGTATTACCTGACCATAGTTAATAACTATGACCTGACAGATAATTTCAAGCTATTATGTCTTAATACAATGGCTATAAATACAGATAGAGTTCTAATGAATACATTCATTTTGTAGGAGTTCCTTCTCAATGTTAGTTGGTCAAATGGCGATACGAGAACAATAGCTCGACAGTACAGTATGTTTTTTGATTTACTGGTAAGCTATCTTGTCCTAGATGACCTTTTACGACCGAGGACCTTATTGTATGCTCAAACGGATCCATTCAATCGGTTTGTGTATATTTAAGCGATTTACATGATAGCTGCTTGCATTGTGGCTGAAGTACTGTTTCCGTGGGCTGWMAGTTTAGAAGARAGTCTTCAGAAATTGTGTAACTTTGGGATAAACAAAATTCAAAAATTATAGTGTTTCGTAAGTGAATTGGATCACTGTTGACATAAGCTTGTTGTAAGCTGTGACAGTACTTCTCGCTGAAACGGGACTAGCATTTGTCTCAGAATTTAGTTTGCAATTTCATATAATATTCTTCATATTTTTCTACACAGTAAGAAATGTTAACTTTCTTAAGAATCTAAAACACGAATGATAATATCCTCGTGAATTTTAATGCCTTTAACRCAGCTTTTATTTTATTCAAATCGACTTTCGCATCTTAGTGTTACTGGTAATAAAATGTAAAAGAATTAAATTCAACAATGCAATTCTAAATGATGAAGGTATATAAACTTCAAGTTATGATATTGCCCATATATAAAGTGTTATTTTTCTTTTTCGTATGTGTTATTGCGTGCAGAAGAGTTTTTTAACAGCTCAAGCTTGACGCCATATAGGTACACACGTGGACTTCCGCTAACCACAGGGTGACCAACCCAACTCTAAATTCATTTGCTTGATTATAGCTCACAATCACCCTTTTTGTGGCATTATAAAATGCGTTAAACTGCTTATATTTTGATTTCGTTTGCTTGAATGACCCGTAATTKTTTTCGCCGTCTGACGAGACTTTGCATTAAACCGTGACGTCATTTGTAATTATGCTATAATTATAGTCAAAACCACATCTTTATCACCATAATTTAGTATCGTAATTGCCAATACTGGTCATGAACATTTATACAATATTACTTATTACAATATCACTCGCTATTTTTCATGAACTTGTCTACGTCGACCCTTAGCTGCCTTAGCATTTTCTTTGGATTTCCGAGTGCCGTTYTTGACTCTCGTATCTTTCAAGTTTTTATCAAACAAATAAAAGTCAAATTGTGTTTTTCAACGGAAAATTTGTAGTTTCTTTCCTAAAAGTATCCCTGGAGCCGTTGTAGACTAAGAGCGCTAGCCGCTTGCGTGCTCTGGCCCATTTCGTTTGAGTGTGCGAATGTCACGAAGCTTCCGTGTTGTCAGGTGTTGTTCTACGTGAGTCGTAATATTTTCTCATTCAGTCCTCTTATGACATTCCTATCTGTGTGTCATTTTTTTACAGAGTTAATTTTTTTGATTCACTCTATTATTGCGTCATCAGAGTAATAGAATGTCTATGTAGACCATAAGTCGAAATGATCTCGCAAAGCTGAGGATTTTTAATGATAGCCGAATCATATCCGCATTCTAATTTAATCCGTACAACTGCCACATTTACATGAAAACGGTATCAGCTGCAACCATGCATTGTTCATAGGCTAGAACAAATAGGCAGCGACCGCAATTCTACTGATAACTAACAAAGCATGGTGGGAAATGTAGTCACTTAATCTCCACAAGTTGTACACTAAACCAATCCATGTCGTTACGTTTTCTAAATAATCTACTTTGCATGTCGTTACGTTTTCTAAATAATCTACTTTGCATTCTTAGTTCTTAGTTGTTCCTGTCGAAAATATTTTTTTAATATCCATTGGGTGTTTCAGTACCACCACTGATCAGTGATTGACAAGTGCCTCGTGTGATGTTGTGTGAGGATCATCTCCCCATACTCCATTATGTCACGTGGGTGTTTCTAAACTTTTTTTTTACGTTTATGATCAGGGTGGAATTAAGATGATTTTTCAAGACGTTTCTGGTGTTGTAATTCCAGATCTTCCAGGTGAGATCACACTSCTGTCCCTCCCTACCCTCCACAATAGATTTTTGTTTGTGTTGTCGAGTCTGTGTTTTGTTGAAAGGCAAATGAAAAATAATATTTGTWCAATAAATAAAGAGCGTTCACGTCATTTCAGTTCCTAAGTTCCAYGTCGCGATGTTATTCTCATCGTTGGCCAAGAAAGAAAGCCGAGTAATAGAAGAGTTCTGTCAGGTAAAACACTCAGTAAGCTTATATAAATTGTAAATCACGCACCTTGAAAACGTAGTGGTATCAAATGTGGTAATAGGCAATGTGTAGYGACGCCATTTTGTGCAACAAAAAATGATTTGCCATGACTGGATAGCGTCAAATTTGGATAAGCGCCAACAAAAGTGTTCTATCAACGCTTCACTTTCTAAACCTTGTTTGCTAACTTGTGGTGTTTCCCAGGGGACGATTCTGTGTCCTTTACTATTTTTGTTATTCATCAATGATTTACCAAACCGTTTATTTCATTATCAACCCAGAATGTACGATGATGATAGGATATATATCGTATTTGTAGTCCTTATGTTACGTCTTCTACAGCAATCCTCCTAAGTAGTTTTTTTCTTTTTCTAAGCAAAAATAGAAGTAGTTGTACCTTTCCTAAAAAAAATGTGAAAACCGATTTTAGGGAGAAATTTTTGTGTCTATAATAGTACGAGGACTACAACTACCATCATGCTTTGCTGCACAAAATGGCGTCGTTGCATATTGCGCATGCTTATTCTCAAGTCTTGTTCAAATAAATGGAAATCGAAGTCAACTATTGATAGCAGGTCCTTTGCTTGTTATTGTTAATTTTTTGCCTCTTTCTTTCATTTTTCCCCATTGATTTTACTAATATTTTTGCTTATATCATGTTTTATTTTCTTTTGAAAGAAACTGACCAAACTCCCCCCTGTAATCTCCCAGTCGGATATTCTAGAGAAGTTCTTCAGCGAATGGGGAACTGATGTTGTATACAGAGAATCTAAAACAAGAAACTCCGTCCCTGTATCCAGGTACGTGGAACCGCTATCTCAACATATAATGCATGACTGCATTGGCTACTTGATATGAACTAAACATTGTGATCGAYACATCTTTCCACTTATGACGGATTTTTTTTTTTTACGATATTGTTGAGTTTACCATTCGAGTATCGATCTAAAATTATCCAAAGGATTAGAAAGTAGTACAATGGAGTGCTGAATGGAATATCATAACTTTTTATAAAGAAACTAAGCGTATTCCTTGTCAATTTGCGCAYCCGGATGTTTACRTATTCATGTTGCGTCCATACTTAGTTTCTATACTAAAAATGTTGGAAAACTCTACGAATGCGCATACACAGTGGACASATTTTTTATGTTTTTGGTATACGTAACGGAATTATTGGAGGYATGTTCAACATATCGTCCARCAYTGTGTGGGCGAGGCCAAGRCGGATGTAAAAATCTATACCGTACTGTTTTTGTCTCTCACCAGGCCTTTACCGCTCGATCGACGTGATGATAATATGGTGGAGCGCTATCGCGCCAYGGCTAGTTACCAAGCCTCTACGAGTGGTGAGATGCAGTTGGTTGAAAATGATATACTTACAGTGATAGAGAAAAATCAGACAGGTGTGTTGATTATGATTTATAATCATTTTTGTAAGTGGAAAAATAGTTTAATGTGATTGAATGATAATTATTTAAGCAAAGTTACAGCCACTTGAATAAAGGTGCGAATTTCTAAATTATGTCTGGAATAGAATAGATTGTTTTTATGATTTCGACGTACGGTTTCCGGTATCGTTGCTTT